TTAAAACTGGCCACCAGCTAGCCATTGGCAGCTTGAATGGATTTCTGTCTACAGGATGGCTAGATTGGAGTGAACTGGTTCACAGAACCCAGCACAGAAGCTGCTCATTTCAAATGGCCAATTTTCTTTTCCCACATGACATTGAGCTGGCTTGTATTATTGTCAAGCACTCAAACCTTCAGTGCATTAGTACCCTCCATCACAAATAAATCTAATGAGTAGTAAAGGTCCAGATGGATGCATTCAAACAAGTCTAGAGAAAAAAAATATAATTTTTCCTTGCAATGAGCTGAACACTGGAGCTGCTTCCACAGCCAGTGTTCATGCCAGCCCAGAGCTAGAAGTAGCCACAGCACAGCTGAGTGAAACTGAGTCCGTTAGAGAATCATTCTTATGGTGTGTTTTGGATTAAAAACCTGGAATCTCAATTTACCCTAATTGTGTACAGTGTACAGTGGTACCTCAGGTTAAGTACTTAATTCGTTCCGGAGGTCTGTACTTAACCTGAAACTGTTCTTAACCTGAAGCACCACTTTAGCTAATGGGGCCTCCTGCTCCTGCTGCGCCGCCGGAGCACGATTTCTGTTCTTGAAGCAAAGTTCTTAACCTGAAGCACTATTTCTGAGTTAGCGGAGTCTGTAACCTGAAGCGTATGTAACCTGACGTGTATGTAACCCGAGGTACCACTGTATAAGATACACTTTTCCTGGGACTTATTCAGGTGCCTCTGTGATAGATGTGTTAACAAAAAACAACTGTGTTTGAAATATTGGATGAGTCCACACAGAATAATGACCATGGGTAGGAATAGCTAATCACTTTCTTCAACCAGGATTGAAGTCAAAATTACCACACTCTTTCTGATATCTTTGGACAATGGACTGTCATGTAAGAGATGCTTTCGGCTCCCTGTCCCTGGGTCCCTGTCTTGGAAGAGATCTGCACATTTGATTCTTTGTGTTCTGAAAATCCATCTGTTGCTTGTTTGGACAAAATACTTTTTCAGCAGAAAGCCCAGCAAGGTCTTCTGGGAGACAAGGAGTCAGAACTGAGACAGCGCTGGATTAAGGAGAAAACACCAGTCCTACGAGCAGCTAGATTCTCTCTCCTCTTTGTTTAGGTGGTTCTGTTTTGGCTATATAAGCCATCACAGCTTGAAGAGTTGCAGCAGAGGGAATTAGGACCTCTGATTTGTCTTGTCTTCTTTCAAAATTGTTTTTCTTGTAGCTCTCCCCTGGAATTTAGATTTGAGATTTTGCAGGCACACAGATCCAAAATACAGTGCAAGACATGCTTCCCACACATCTGCATAAAAACAAAAGGGCAAACAATACTTTAAAATGTGAGATAAAGCTATACAATGTTATGAACATAGTTCAGAGGGAACTGTTAAGCAAAGGATATGCTAATCAGAAATAAATAGTCAAGCCAATTAATGGGGTGGGTGGGGAAGAATACACTCATATTGCATGGATGTACATTTTACATGCATTTTATCAGTTTACATACATTTGCTAACCTATGTTCTGATGGATGTGTTCCAAAGTTTTCTAAAACATGGGGTTGTCTCCAACGCTAGTCCAGCTCTGAGAAGACCCATTGAAGTTAGTGAATATGATGACCTTGGAGCCAGTGTGGTGTAGTGGTTAAGAGCGGTAGACTCGTAATCTGGTGAACCGGGTTCAGGTCCCCGCTCTTCCACATGCAGCTGCTGGGTGACCTTGGGCTAGTCACACTTATTTGAAGTCTCTCAGCCCCACTCACCTCACAGAGTGTTTGTTGTGGGGGAGGAAGGGAAAGGAGAATGTTAGCAGCTTTAAGACTCCTTTGGATAGGACTTCCGGGTCAGCGCCATTGGTGAATGGCGGAGTTCCTCCGACCGGAGGAACGGGCTCCATGAAAACTGGGTCTTCCCGCCGCGGCGAAGGTGGGGACCCGCTAGAAATCCCAGGCGGAGGAAGCCTGGGAACGTGGGGTTCGGCAGGGCACCAGAAGCGCCCCCCTACTCGCGGGGAATCCCATCTAGGGGCTCCGGAGCGAAGTGGGGTGAGAAGCGCGGTGCTACGAACTGACTGCTACTTTCACGGAGTGAAGTCGCACAGCCATTGCCAGAGAGCGCTGACTTTTTCCTGTGGACAATTGGACTTAAAACAAGTACCCGTGAGTAGAAACAGAAAATTGGATCAAGAAACTGTTTTAATTTGGTAACGAAGCGGGAAGGTGTAAACAGGAAGTCCGCCTTCCGTTTCCTTGTATATAGACTAAAGCAAAAATTTTGCAAGCTAAAGCCGGGAAGCTGTCAAAAAAGGACTAAATTTCCTTCATTTAGAACCACTGAAACCCCCCTTGGAAGCAGGAGAAAAGGGGGGGGGACTCTGTTTAACTCTACCAGGAGAGGGAGTTAAGAAGGATAAGTTTCCATCGTCTCTAACCTGGGAACGGGGTGTCAGAGACAGAAACTGTTGCTGAGGTTCATTGACGGTGAACGTAACACTTTGACAGATAGCTAATGAAGAGAAACAAGTTGATTCTAATGTTGCCTTTTGCATCTTAAAGAAACAAAATATCTGAAAAACCTCTGAAATATCTGAAAAATGAAAGTAACTTTCCTTTGTCTTTTTTTTTAAAAAATGGCTACAAGTAGATTGTCTCCTCTAGAGGGAGCTTGCTAAATTGTTGTTGCAGCATATTTGAGACCCAACATCTGTGAGATTAAGACTGTGGGAACAGACTTTTTCGTCCTTGAACAAAGATGAGCTGGGAGAAAGACTGGTTGCTTGCTCTATGTAAGACAAATGCTTTGCTGGAACAGATGCATGAAAAGATGGACTTAATGAATGAGAAAATGGATTTGACTGTTGTGGTTAATAACATTGATACAGAAATCATCCAAGAACCAACCTATCAATCTGTACCGACTGGGCAAGTGCAGTTGACAATGGAGGAGGATGTGGCTGCACCTCAAATAGTACAAATGGAGAGACCCGAGGCCCTACAGGAGCATAAGCCACTGTTATTGAAGATTGAAGCTGGAGCGGGCCAAGGGGAGTCTGGAGATGAGGAGACTTCTAGCTTTGGAGAGATTCTGAAATTTGATTTTAAATTCATTTTGGATTACATCGAGGACTGTGGGGAGTGGGACTGTGGGGAATGGGTGAGCTGGATGAAGGGTGATGGAGACAATTTTGGGTTGGAAACCCCCCCCCCCAGAGACCTACTCCTCAATGAGAAAGGAAAGAAACTAAGACAGAGACCAACAAGAGACAAGGAAAAGGGCAAGCACAAACAAGATGAAGAAGAATTGCAGAAGGGACATGGAAGAGATTTAAGGGCCTCGGACATAAGGCTTCCAGGTTGATGGACTAGACGGAATGGACAATAAGGACAATAAGGACTGACATGACCCGAGACCAGGAAGAAGAGACGCTGGATGATGATTGGAAGAGAATTTATAATGGAAACTTTTATATTTTAGAATCAGCTAATGAATATTAGGGAAAATGTGGGAATGAAACTATACGACTCTAGCAGAAATGATATTAGGAGTTATGTATATTTGAAATTTAAGATTTAAGTTTTAAGGCACTTAGGGGTAAGATAAGGATAAATAAATTAAGGTAATCTGAATAATAGAATATGGGGAAAGATGGTAAGGATCTGTTGAGCTAATTATTAGGTTAAATTGTTAAGACAAATTTTATAACAAAAATTGAGAAAGATGGAAAGAATTTGCTGAAATAATTACTAAACTAGAATACAAAAACGGAGGTGTGAGGAGGTCAATGAAACAAGCAAATGGAAATTATGGATATGCAATTTGGGATTTGTGTTTTTTCCTCTTTTTCTTCTTTTTTTACTTTTTTATTGCTGTATTGTTATATTGGTTTTCTCATTTTGTGCTTTTCTCCTTTTTTATTGTCTTCTTCTTCTTTTTTCTTTTTTGTATTGTAGCGTTGTTTGTCATTTTTTATTTTTCTTGTAATTTTGAAATTATCAATAAATATTATTTTTTAAAAAAAGACTCCTTCAGGTGGTGATAAAGCGGAATATCAAATCCAAACTCTTCTTCTTCTTCATTAACTTCAATGTGTCTACTCTGAGTAGGACTAGAATTGGCTACAACCCATAGATTCTTTTTATCAGCTAGAACTCATAGATCTTTCCTGGCAAGTAACATGCTTGACAAATAACCCTGTTTTGCAATTTTCTCTTGTGCTCAATGCTTTGTTCTGACAGACGACAACCAAATGTCACCACTTGTGACGGTGGCAACAATGGTAAAATAAAGCAAAATAAAAAGAAGACTTGATTGGCCTTGGATGAATATTTCTGCCCACAATTCAATAGTGGCTTGCAAATTAAAAGCAACAAGACAAAAATTAAGTGCACAATGATAAACAAAACAAACCAGTGAACCCTCCCAATACACATTCATTAAAAGAGCAAAATAAATACCAGTACAACAACAAAATGAGTGAAAGCATCCAGCAAAGAGGAAAATAACAAGACCTAGGGCCAAGGTAGAATGTGACCTTAAATGTGTGAATGCAGTTAATGTACATGTTTTTGTTGTGTAAGTAGCAGCCACAAAGAAACCTGAACAGCTTTGGGGTCATGCGGGTGAGAAGAAGAGTTTAACTCTTTCTCTCTCTGCCATGATCCCATCAAAAACCAGGTATCAGAAGCCAGGGATGCCAATGGATGCTTCCCTTGAAATGCAAATAGTAGCATAAGATAAGCATCCCCCCCCCCCAGGACTGTGGCAGAGAGAGAAAACCCTAAATTCTCTTCTCCACCTGCCTCCAATAGTTCCTAGGCTGCTTAGACTTCCCTGCAGCCATTTACAAAGCTAAAAACATGCATATTAACTGCATTTCTATAACAGGTTGATACGAAAGCTGGATAAGAACCCAGGAAGCTGGATAGGAACCTTCTACTGAGTCAGACCATTGCCCCATCTTGCTCAGTGTTGCCTAAACTGACTGGAAGTGTGTCTCCAAGGTTTCAGGCAGGAGGATTGAACTCAGGACGTTCTGCATACAATGCAGATGCTCTACCACTGAGCCTTGGCCCTTCCCACAGCCATTAACCTCCTGGATGACCCCAGTATTTTTACGTAGATGTTAAACAGTACAGAGGATAAAATGGAAACCAGTGGAACCGAATAGCACAAATACCGGGTTGCAGGGAAATAGTCCCAAAGGATAACATTTAGCAATCTGATTCTCACTCTAATCAGATATCCAGAATGCCATGGTTTATGGTAGCTAAATAGGGGAAATAAGAGATTTACAGAAGATTGGAAGAAATGTACAAACTATTTGAAGAGCAACTGTAATCAACAAATTACGCTAGCAGGACTACAAGAAGTTTTGTAAGGAGGAAAATATAAAATATTGCAAAGAAGAGAAAGAAGAGAGATATAATTATGGTATTTAAATGTAATAGTGAAAGTAAGAAATGTAAATTAAGTGAAAAAGATTGGAAAATTTTCAGATGTGATTGTATAAGATATAAAAGTATGTTTAATAATTGTTGAAAATGTTATGCTAAAAAAACCTAATAAATAAATAAATAGGGGAAATAAAACAGCAGCAACAACATCAACAAAAGGCATGGGAAATGGGTATTCAGAAGCTGAACTCAAGGAAAGAGCAAAACTGAGAGTTTTGAGCTGCCACCAACCATTTGACTTCACGCACAATGAGGGAACCATTGAAACTACCAAGTCCTTGCCATGATATGGCTGTAAAGTCATACAAAAATATATCCCCAAAGGCAACTACTCCCGAGTAAGGAGTGTGGACAAGCAAACAAATAAATCAGAGAAGAAGTCTTTTTCTTTCAGTCAATCATGTATTAGTAGAAACAACATCAACTCGTAAACCAAGCGTTTCTTCCCACAAAGGGGCTTAATCATTGAGCTGTACAGTGGAGTCTACTCTAGACAATATACAATCAATAGTTTTTTTGGACAAATGGGCAAATCTGTCCCTCTGTGCATTTCTCCCATAGGAAGAACAGAAAGAGGCTACACAGCCTTCTTTTTGTCAGCCTTCGTTTCATGACACATGATACAGCTGTGTCATGAAAATCCTCTTTGTTGCAGGGTTCCCAAGGAGGTGGAGCTCTCACTCCCAAATATAGCCCCTTCATTCAATACTTACAAACTTCCCCATCCTTTACTTTGGTGGTAGACATGAATGCGCTCAAAAACTGGAAAGTCTCTTTCCTTAGCCGCTTCATTAAGTTGGAACACATTAGTTTGTAATAAGGCAACCTTTCTTTGTTCGGTTACAGTGGGTGATGTCATGTTAGGCTAATGTTATTGACTAATATCACATATTTGCCTCCATCATGCATAATACATTATGAACTCATTTTAACAGCCTTTCTATAATGCAGTCTTCTTAATGCAATGGGTAGCATATGCTTGGTTATATTTTATAAGCTTCTTAAAACATAAAAACATTGAATTTACTGGAACATGAACTAATCTAGATCATTAGTGTACAACTAGAGAGTCATGGAAGTTTTTAAGAAAATCAATGCCTACTGGCCACAATCCAACATACAGGTCGGTCTAATTCTATGCTGGATTGTGTCTGTTGTGTGTGTCCGATTTCTTCTTTAACAGAATTCCTGCATGAATCATTTCAAATCCTATAAAAATGCATTTTAAAATAAGGATATGCCTCATATTTTTGTTAATGTTTTGATTTCATCAGAGAAGCTGATGCAAAAGTTCTTAAATAAGTTCTTAAATAACATGGCAAGAATTGACTGGGCTGAAACTTGGCCATTTTCACACAGGGCCAGCTCTGCCATTAGGTAGAATGAGGCGATCGCCTTGGCAGATGCTGGGCAAAGCGGAGTGGTGGTGAGGTGCTGGAGGACACCACTGCATGAATTGTGCAGACTGCTATGCACCCACTAGGCTAGTCTCCTGCCCTCAGGACACTGTTGTGAGTCGAGGACCCTCCACCCGCATAGGATTATAATAAGACACACAGACACGTTATTTTAGGTTAATGGGCAAAATTAGGCCACAACCTTTATTGGTTACAGCATGTGAGTAGTATTGGCTTAGGCATTGGATGAAACGGCAATACAAGACTCCACCACACACAGCCGCGAGTCATATCAGGGTTAACAACCAATGGGAGGAGCTTGTTGATGCAAATACAACTGGAAGCAACCCCATGACGTCACCGGGGGTTGTGCCATGGCCCTAGCCACTAGCAGGGCATTGGACAGGATCCACGACCACCGGATTCCTTTAACGGAATACCCAAAAGAGGAGGGGTAGATGATGGCGCATACCCAATCCTCCAACACAGCACACATATTCCAATGCCTAACCACCAATACCATAAAGTTGTGACGAATTGCTATGAGGTAGGCGAAAAAACCCAAGAGGCTGGTGCCAATTTGCCAAATGGATAAAAAAGTCCTACCAGGCCCCTTGGGCAACCAAGGCAACCAACCAAAGTCCATAGCAAGGTCAATACACAAAAGAAGCTGACCTAAGAGGGAGGGAGGGTGGGAGATCTGAAGGAAGCAGGAACAGACTGAGAGAAGAGGGCTGCTGTGGCTGTTTAAACGCATTTAGCCCCGCCCACCAGCCAGCCCTATTGGTTGGCTGGGAGGTTTGGCCGCGGCAGGAGAACCAATCAGGAGCAGGGAGCCAAATACGGCTCCCTGCCCCCGCGGGAGGCTGCTCCTGCTCACAACCCCTCCCCTCTGGTAGGAGGAGAGGCTTTGTCTCCACCAGTGTTGAAATAAGATTAAAATGCCATCCTGATAAACCTCTGCATGTGAATGGGTGGAGGCAGACGGTTTTTCTTCACCTTGGGCTAAATTCTAAGTGTGTGCAGTGGCCCCAGGAGTTACTTTGTATTGGTATTTGAAACTTTTAAAAAGATTGTCCATGTTTTTAAGTCACTCTGTCCTCCCTCAGATTTGATCATGTTTTAGGTTCTGAACCACTCTGTATGAAATGAAACCCGGCTTCCCTCCATTCACTATAATGAGAAATCTAAAAATGGTTATAACTCTCACCCCTTTTGGTTGAAGCTGATGAAATTTAGAGGAACAAGTGCCCCTTCAGAGTGGATTACACTTACCAAGTCGCCGACAAGTAAATCCATGACATTTACTTTATAAGTATAAAGGATTCATTATTCTCCCTTAAGGGTGTGAGCAGGGGTTTTCCTCTCTTGCTGTTTGTTATCTTAAAATAAGTAGTGTCTGAGTGGCGTGCATACTTGCGCCCTGCATGCTTTAAAAAACTTTGCAGCTTCACACTCGCCTTTCTTTCCAGTGGCTGTTTTTATCCTCTTACGCCATGCAATTTGGGCAATCTAGAATGCTGCCCACAGGATTCGAAAGAGCTCAGGGTTTGTTTGTTTTTTGTTGAAAGCTTAAACGAAGCTTCTAGCTTTTAAAAAAATAAACCACCACTATGTTTTAACAAATAACCATCCAGGTGCTCTTCAGTGCTTCAGAGACAGCATTTTGGGCAGCCTCACTTTTTGCAAAGCCCATGAGCCTAGAGAAACACATACACACACAGAGTATATTGTACAGAAAAGTACAGAATCAGAATTACAGAGTGACAAGAGGCTTTGAGGGGTCCTCAGTTTGACTTAGGGTGTTACTGACATCATACTTCAATGCCAGACCACATCATCATATCCCAGCCCCCACAGAGCCAACGAAAACCCCTTCAAAATACAGGTGAGGGGCTGTCTCACATGATTGATCTTAAATCTCCTTTTCTTGTGAGACAGACCCTAACGCTCTACTCCATGTACTCTTTGTTATAAGTAAAAATCAGAGAAGCTCCACTGTGAGGCATTCATGCAGGGAACACATGCTTAAGACAATATCAAAGAGCAAGTTACAAGAAAGGAGATTGCCAGGTTTTTATCTGGAAGTTTTGTGCTGTGGAGTGGAATAGTGGGTGGTGAGCCAGGGGGATTAGCGGGGATAGGGTTGGGCATTTAAAGCACCTTTAAAGCACCCCATAAGGATTCTGGGAACTGTAGTTTGTCAAGGGGGCTGGAAATTGCAACTCTATGAGATTCCAGGAGTCGGGGTGTGTGTGTAGATGGAATGAGGCATTGCTCCATTGAAATGTATGGGATTTAAGCACCCAGTTAAATATAAGAGTGAGACTTGGCTGCATCTAATATTCTTGGATTGTGCCTTTATGAGGCATGAATCACTACTTTACAGTGTGTAATCCAAGACCCTTATGATACAATTAAGTTTTTTTGGTTAATATTTACAGTGAAGTTAAAAACACACACATACTGCAGACATCTGTGCCAAATATTCTGTGGATGTTATTGCTAATTGGATGCAAGTAATTTGGATATCCACATGAATAATGCATTTCTCACACACAGTATCATTCTGGCTCCTCCAAAGAGGTTTCCTGGATGACAATCCTGTACACTTTTTGGCTGCTTAAGTCCTCCTGAAAGAAATGAAATTTAAGCAGACTAACTGGGAGTTGGATTGCAGTCTTTGTGCTTCCTGAGGAAGCTCCCAAACACAAATCTAATAGGAGAAAAACCCTTAAATATTTTTATATCTCTCTCTGTCTATAACCCTTTACCAGCATTGTCTCCAGAGAGAAGATAAGCATTATAAATATAGGGATAGGAAAAGCATTGTTATTGGCAGCCATTTCCTTTTGATAGAATTAGATATTTGTCTTCGCAAGAGATCCATGGGGTATCTGCCTGCTTGACAGAAAGTTTTGGAGCCTGGAAAAATGACTAGTACTAAAATTCAAAAGATTGCCAGCTTCAAATGCTTTTGTGACAAAGTGTGATTTGAAGCAAGATTCAATTGGCACACAGGATGGTGCAAATTGCTGCAGTCCTCCTGATGTAACAACTCTTGCCTACCAGAACTGACCTGGCTCGCCTGCTTAGGACATAATGGTTCAACTCAAAACAATTTCATGTTTCCTCTAAGGCTGAGCACAGGTGTTCGTTTGTTTTAAGGAAGCGAAGCATCTTCTTGATAGTTGTTCAAACCAGCTATAGGCAAGACAGC